GGGCGTGGCCAGCATTGCCCCAGCATTGTTGATGCGGTGGCAGTTCCCGCTGCTACTGCTCCCTGTCCTCTGTCCCTGGCACATCTGTGGACTGTCGTTGCTGCCACTGCTGCTGCTGTCGTTTTCCTCTAAGTGCACGGCAAGAGCGCTCCAAAAGTTCTTTCTTCTGTATTTGTGTGTGTGTGTGTGTGTGGCTCTGTTTGTTGCATGATTATTTTTGCATGCCACTGTGGGCGAGTGGAGAACCTCGACCAGAAATGCCGCATCTTGGGGGCCCACCATTGTTAGCAGCAGGACCTGCTCATGACTAAGAGATGTCAGCATGACCTATTGTCTATATGCACAAGTATCCATGTGTGTGTGTGTTCCTGTGTGTATCTCTGTGTGGGGGCTTTTGTTCTGCCATTTTCAGGCAATTTGTATAGAGAACTCAAAATTTGTCTCTGAATACTTTTATTTGGGTTTTTGGCTCCACACAGAATACCTTTGGAAACCCTGCGACGGTGCACCATGGGATGCCCATCGATTGATGGAACCTCAGAGGAATGAACGAAATGAATGGCAATGTGACCCAGCAGCACATTTGTAATTAAGAAAGTTTTTAGCTGAAAGGCACTTAAATGAAATTTTAATTTATTTCTAAAATGCTGCCATTCCCAGGGACACAAAAAACAATAGTCAAGCAGGCTGAGGGGGAGGGTGTGGGATAAAAGCAATGGCGAAAGAAACAGGCAAAACTTTACCCAAAGCCAAGTGTTGTCGCCGCATTGACAGAGACAAACAGACAGACAGAAACTCTGACTCGGAGTCTGAGTCTGACTGACTGACAGAAAGAGAGAGCGAAAGACAGTTGTCGCTAGAGACAAAGAGAGACAGAGAGGAGGAGCCCTATTAAATATTTAACCTTATCGCAGCCATTGCTTTGGCCATTGCAGGAAGTCTCAATGTGGCCGGGAGACCGCACAACAATGGAAAACATTTTAAAAAGTGCCTCAAGGACACCCCGCGCTGCCACATTATGGCGCGCCATGAAACGCTTAAGCTATCAACACGATATTCGGTAATTAACCCGGCTAAATACGATACGCCAGCCAAATTATGCCAAGGCAAGAGCAAGACCAAAAGCAAAGCCAGACCAGAGCCAGGCCAGAGCCAGAGCCAGTCACCAGAACCAGACGAAAGCCATGCCAGCAGAAGCAAAGCCAGAACGTGTACTCCCTTAATGTCGTCCTGTCTTAGGCGGGGGGTGGGGCGCAAAGCCATCCCCCCTCTGTGTTCGTGTGCTTCCTGTTTGTATTTCGTATCTGGCTGCCGCATTATCCTGATTAAAATGCTGCAATTTTTAGGCAAGTCAGGACGCGCACCATCAGCGGCAACATTAACGGTCGTCGTGCAGTCGTTGTTATCAGAGGCAGGATGCATGAAGCAGCTACCCCAACCACTCACCCACACACCCCATATAGTCCTGCCCCCCAACAAAAAGAGAGCAGAGCAGAGGCCGAAGAGCGACCGACATCGCGTTAAAAGAGACAAAAGAGAAAGCAACCACTGCTCGTGGTCGCCTGTGTGTGCGTGTGTGTGTGTGTGTGTGTGGGGGAGAGAGTGTGGTTAGCATTGTTAGTGTGTTGTGTTATGCTGTTGGTGAATTACCCACAAAAATGAGAGACGGTAAACAACTTTTGCCCGACTCTTGGCCGAGACGAAGAGCGGCTGCCAAAAATCGCCCATTATCCATTTTTAATTTTATCATCAATTTTATTACACACCGGAGTCCAGAGTCCACAGTGGAGTGTGGAGTGTGAAGAGAGAGGCGCAGCCATCAACATCAATGAAAAATGCTAACAACAACAACAAGCAGAGTAAGCAGAGTGAAAGCCGCAACGCAGCACTCACCCACACATACACCCATACAGCACACACACTTAAGCGAAGACTTGCAAAGAGAGAGGATAAAAACACACGCCCTTTTGCAAAAACCTGTGATATGTGTGCCCATAGTCTTAGTCTTAGTTCTAGCCTTACCCCTGGGTTAGTTCTGTTTTAATTGTTGTCTGACTTATACGCACCTACAGTGGGGACTGCATTGGGGAGTGCAGTCTGCTGGCTCCTGGGGCTCAGGCCCAGATCCTGTTTTAATGCAGGGGCAATCTATGGCTGCTGAACACTTTTCGTTTTGTTTGCACTTTGGCTTTGGCTTTGGCCTGATTCGCTTTGTTTCTTAGAATATCATTTCGCACTCGAGTCACTTTCACATTAAATCCTTTTTTGGGGGTAGAGAGAGAAGGGTAAAAGGATTAGGCCCTGCACAACAGAGTAGAGTCTGTTCTGGGTGAATTGTCTATGGATTTATGCCGATTAAACACTGCTCGTTCGTTCTCGTCCTCACGCACTGGCTGCTGTTTAGCAACTGAAACTAGACAATGACAAGTGCCAAATCACCTCAGCACCCAAGCCAGCACCCCAAGCCAGCACCCAAGCCAGCACCTCCTACAATACATCATCTTTCGAGCACATAATCTTGCGAGCCAATCCACCTAAGCAAATCTTATTCAATTGACCGAACAATAAACCCAATTTGCATTGCGCGTGTGAATGAATGCATCTGTGTGTTCGTGTTCGTGTTGATTGAATCAACAGCAGTAGCAGCAGCAGCAGCAGCAGCACAGGCAGACAAGTAAACAGATTAAGTTTCGGACACTTTAACTAGGCACAATGGACACAAAACCAACCACCACCCCCCACATTCGGCCTAACTATCCCTGTACTATGTGGCAGAGAGCTCTACTCTAGTCGCATTTCGCACTTATTCAATTGAGACATTTGGTGAAATTTCTAAACCAAAAGGGGCACTGCAGCCAGTCCAGTCCTCTCCTGGTAATTAGCCCACAGTTCAACTTGGAGTAAAACTCAGCTAATGACAAAGCCCTTCAGACCTAAGACAAAGTAGGTCGGGGCACGGGCTTTACCGACACGCCCACTAAAACTGTCCATACATATATGTAGAATATCAAGAAAAGAAAACTCAATAATTTTTGTAAAACTTCATTATTTTTCGATTTCTGTTTCTGTTTCTTTGCTTCTCAATTCTTCTTCTCTTTCTTGTAATTTCTTTGTCTGTTGTTGTGGCTGCTCTTCTCCGGCCCCGGCCGCGGCTCCAACCCCAGCCCCCTTTCCCGTGCCTCTTTCTGCTGCTCTGCTTGTTGTGGATAAATTCGGGATTTTTTGGGAGCGGCCATTTGCTTTTCTCTTAACATTTTCTGTCTGTCAGTCTTTCTGGTTTGAAGGGGCGGAGGGGAAGCCTGGCTAAAGGCTTTTTGTCTGCGGAATATTCTGAAATAAATACTGTGCTGTGCAATGGCATAAAAAGTAAAATTTTTGCTCGGCTTTGAGGTTGACTTTTGGCGTCTTTCTTTTTTGCGAAAAAGAATGAAAAATAAAATAAAATAAAACACTCCCACGTCTGGGGTGGCGCTGTCTGTGCTGTGCGACGGGGGGGATTGATTTTTCTGCTGGGGGCTGTATATGGCGGCGGGCAGGCCAGCCCCAAAGCAGGGCATACCATACACGTTATGCTGGGGGTTGGGTTGCGGTGCGGCTGTTGCCACTGATGACGCTGCCTTAACGAATATGGACCGACAGCACCATCAGTAACAAAAGAAGCACACGCAGACGGTTTTTTTCTGAATGCACACACGTTTCCAATTTCCCGATTTTCCGCTCTTCCGCCATAGTCCTTTTCGTCATAGTCTGGTTTACCGCACTGGGGAAAATGACACACTCACACTGACCGAACACACACACAGGCACACACAGTGGCACACAGGCACACAGACACTGGCGGGGATTACATGGTAGCAGAAGCAGCGACAGGCATGACCATTCCCATTTCCATTTCCACTTTCCACTCTTTGCCGCTTTGCCTATCCTCTTGTCTGTGTTGGTGTTGCTGCCACTGCCACTGCCACACTGTTGTGGATGCCGCCGCCTCTGTGTGGTGTATCGCCTGGACTGGACTATTTACCGAGCCTTGTTCCGTTAGCCGCCGCCGTCGTCGTGCCGTCGCTCTCGAGTTGCAAATTCACTCTGAACAGAGTTCCGAATGCGAAATATCCACTCCACGGCTGCTGCTGCTGCTGCTGCGAATGCTTCGTGGACCCAAGGACTCGGCGGCGCAGAATGTCGCACGGCGCATCAGCTTGCGCCGCCCCAAATCTCTTTTGATGGCCGTAAAGAGCGAAAGAGCGGAAGCGCGTGGTGGATTAAACACTTGAAGCTGCGAATCCAACCGAAACAGCAACCGGAACCGTTAAACGAAATAAACCGATTCAAACCCAATACCAGAACCGGAACCAGACTGATATTTTAAGTTTATTAACAACCGGTAACTGTGATTATTGTGATACATTAAAACATGTCCAAGTCCAAGACGCAATTGATGCTTGTGAAACTATTAAAGCTGACTGCCCTGAAACTCTAGCTGGCTGCTATGAAACTATTGAAGATGACAACAACATGCTGTTAAGCAATATGCTGGTTGTTATGAAACCATAAACTATCTGCAATGGTAAGCTAGCTGATGTAAGAATATAAGCTGGCTGCTCTAAAACTATAAGCTTACTGCCGAGTAACTAGGAATAAAAGGAACATGGAAATTATTTTGTAATTATACAATTTGTTTTGTTCTTAAAGATTCCTTTGCCGCACTCTGATTTTTTCAGCCGATCTCTGCGATAGTTCTAATATCACTTTGGGACAAGTGGTCCATCCCTGTGCCCATATCGTGCTAAAAAACCATCGATATCGTTTACCGCTCTCTCATTTAACGCAAAAATGAGCTGTCGATTTCGCAAATTGCGATTTGTATATTCCAAAAACGTTTGCAAGTGATTTGAAAAATATAAATCAAGTTGAAAATTCGCATAATTGGTAAGTAATTCATCAATTGAACTCATCTGTCAGCTGAGATATCGAATAGTCGTTTAATAAATTTCGACTATTCGATTGCTCAAACACAGAAATTCGTGTTGCGCATATTTCGTTTCGGAAATTTATATAACTTCTAAACAGTGTCACCCCAGACACATAAACAAATCGAATTTTAGACATCTGAACATTAAATTTCAGTTATCCGGAAAACACTGCCCGCCAGCGATAGAGCAAAATTGTTGGTTTTTTTGGAAACAAGGCCAGCCAGCGAGAACATCAACAACAACAAACAACCTGTAAGACCTTGAGGAACATTGCATATGTTCAATCTAATCTGTATTTTACTCTTCAGGTGCTGTATTTGGATTATCCCATACCCCACTAAGGCATCATGTCCATCAGACGCGGAATGGCCACAACGGCCAGCAAGGAATGGCGGGACTACTTTATGAGGTGCGCTTGAAGGTCCCCTTGGGTGTTTTGAGTTCGTAACTTATTGCTGCTTTCTTTACTCCCCCAATAGCACCCACTTCTGGGGACCCGTGGCCAACTGGGGCATTCCGTTGGCCGCCCTCGCCGACACACAGAAGAGCCCCAAGTTCATCTCGGGCAAAATGACGCTAGGTAAGTGGACTGGGCTCTCCGATCAGCAAAGCAAACCAGTTTTGAGGCCGCGACACGCGTGCTCAGCATCGAACGTTTCCGTCGCAGATTTCGTAATCAGAAGTGGCTCTAGTGTGTGTGATATGGCAAATCACAACTGGCTGTCTGATAAGCGAGATACGGTCGAGTCTGTCGAAGGGGCTGCTGATAAGGCTGGCTTTAATTGAATCCCACATATGTACATAGATTACTGATCACAAAAACGTTTCGCTTCCAGCTCTGACGCTCTACTCGTGTATCTTCATGCGCTTCGCCTACAAGGTTCAGCCCCGCAACTGGCTGCTGTTCGCCTGCCATGCCACCAATGCCACAGCCCAGTCTGTGCAGGGCCTGCGCTTCCTCCACTATCACTATGGCGAAAAGGATCAGTCGGCGTAAACGCTGCCCATCAGCTCAACCCACCAACAGACCCCAATCACGGACGCGCGATGCCTCTTCAAATGTTTACCCAACAGCAGCTACAGCAATTTACTGCCGCGACACGCAACGCACATGCAAATTGTACTGGCCCATCAGTCACCACCAGTGGGGGGCAGTAATTGCCACATTAAACACCCGCCCAGCTGGCTGAATCTCATCACTGGACAAAATGAAGTTGTCATGCCACTGCGCTTGACCTTTGACTGTAGCGTTTAATGGCGTTTGGAGAGCCCATCGCACGACACAACCAGCAGCACAATCCTCGATTCCAATTCCAGATGAGTCTAAACCAAAACGAAGCTACTGCACATTTTGTTTGTAAATTGTTGACCTATGCCATAACACTATAACTACTATATCGTTCGGCGGCTGAGTGCAATTTAGTCAAATTTAGAGAAAATATAGAATATAATTTTTATACGATTGGCCTTCCATGTATATCTATCCATCAATATATGTGGTTTAAAATTGAATAAACCCAACTGAGAATATAATTCAAGTGACTTTAATCTGCCAACTAAGAAATACAAAATTTTGCTTTCTGTTTTGTTTATTTTATTTTTTTTTGATTTTGTCATGCTCTTTTTAACATGTACTTTATTCAAACGATTACGCATATATGTATATTGTATATAATATAAGTGAATTGTTCAATTGTTCTTAACAATAGTACATACATATATATATTTTTTTTGTTGTTTGTGATTTTTAACATTTTTTTTTGCTTTGTTCATCAATGAGGTTAAAACAATACATTTTTTTATAATCTCTCTACCCCATTATGGAGGGGTTTCATTTTTTTTTGTGTGATTTTGTAGTTTTTGGAGATTACGCTTAGGTTCGAAAACATTATACGTGGGATACAAAAAAACATGGTGGTAGAATTTTAAAGTTCTTGCAAACATAATAAAAAGTACGTTTTAAAAATAATCACACCTCGCGCTCTCTGTGGGGGGGTGCCCTCTATTCATAACATGTTGGTAATTATGGTTTAGGTTTTACATCAGATCGTCAGAATTGCTGACACACGATGTTATCCCCACCTTCTGGCGGGGATGCGTAATGGATATTGGATTTCTCTTCTCGACTACAACGACAACTTACATAACTAGACAATGGATGACAGGGGATCTCGATCTCTCTCGACTAAGGCTATTCACCGCAATATGCGACATCAGTTGGTAACGACAATTCTATCTATGGCTACGAGAATCAAAGGCTGGCCGCTGGGCTGCTCGCTCACTGCTCCTTCTTGACGAAGGTGCTGTTGTTACGCTGGCGGACCATCAGGTAGCTCTTGAACAGGGTCTCCTTGTGGTCCACCCGCTGCGACTGGGCCAACAGGCGTTCGTGCTCGGCCACCAGCTCATCCTCCATCTGCTTCTCGATCTCATCGCGGCTCTTCGTCTTCCGGCGCGAGACGCGGCTGGCCTCGTTGTTCTTGAGTCGGTCCATGTACGCCTTGCATTCCTCCTCGCTCATGCGGGACATCTTTTCCGGGTCTGGTCCGTCCGCGTGCTCCTTGGCGGGACGGCCACGCTTTCGCTTGGAGCTGGCGTTGCCGTTCGTCGAGGCGGTGGCGCTGAACTGGGAGGTACTGGTGACTGAGTAGGCGGGGGAGGCTGGAGCGGTGAGGAAGCCGCCGAACCCGGACTGGCAGGTTGCGGCGACGCTGGAGGAGCACGCCGAGTAGTAGCTGTGCGGTGTGTTCGGAGCTGAGAAATCGGTGGTGGTTTCCTCCTCGGCGCTGCGCAGATCCTCGATGATTCCGGCATGTGATGTGATGATAATGGGGTTGGCGGCCTCGGGCTGTGTGCGGGAGAGAGTGGTTCGGTTAGGAATCTGCCACGGGATGAGGACGTAGGCTCTGCCAACACTTACCCTCTCAAAATTCAAGACTTGCTCAATGATGTCGGGTGTGCTTATGTCGTCTGATTGGCTGAATGCAGGCGGCGACTGGCTGTTGATCTTGACCATCAGCTTGCTTCGCTTCTGCGCTTGTGTCTCGCCCGCAGGGGCGAACACTGCCGCCGAGGCCGTGCGCTTTAGTCCAACGATGGAAGAGTTGGACAGGGTGTGTCGGATGGCCACGGAGACGCTGCTGCTGCCGCCAACTTCCGGATCGGAAATTGGCTTCGCATCGTCCACCAGGCCGAAGCCCAACGATTCCTGACTGCAGACGTACATGCTGCCGCCGGAGCTGTTCTCGTCGGCCAGCAGTGGCTCTTCGCTGAAGAATTTGGTGTTGGTTGATGTCTGAGAGAATGTTGAGAGCATGGGGTCTTGGGATCCGGTTAGTATGTCGTTAAGGTCTATGCAATGATTGGGTTGATTGAAGTTAATGCCGCACATGGGGGCCATGTCGAGGGTCTCCTCCTCTCCAGACAGTTGCTGGAAATCGTAATCCATTTGAAGTTTAAAGTCGTCGAGGTTGTCGTTGTTGATGTCATCCATAACCAGATTGCACCGATCCATTTCCTTGGGCTCAAGCTCAATAAGATCCTCGGCAATCAAGTTTATATCAAAGTCAAAGTCAAGAATATCCGTTTCAGTAAAAATCTCCTTTCCGTTTTCGCTGCTACACGATGACGTTGCTTCTATGTCTTGCAGGTATTCTACGATAAAAAACGAAATATTATTAGAATGATTTAAAAAAAAGATTTAATTTAATGTATTTTTTTTATAATATGTGCGAGTGTGTGTAAGCTTTTTTTTAGAACCCATTATTGAATTTAACTCATCAGATAAACTGAAGGAGATCGTAAAATATTTTTTAATCTAATTGTCAATTCATATCCCCCCCAAAATTAAATATTAGTATTCAATGAAGAAAATATTTAAAGTTCAGTTCAAATGTAGATGTACATATAAGCAAATATACATGACATCTACATCGTATACATCGGCTCAGTGGCGCTACGAAAATATCTCGATAACACACGTAAAATTTTGTATACAATTCCTACAGAAAAATTTCAATCGTCTCGATTGCGATTCTACATACATTTTACATACATATGTAATTTACTTTCAATATCGAAGTGGCGCCACTAACGTAAGCAGAGGAGTAGCGCAACAACTTCGCACAATATTTGTCTCTCTTGCACTTTGTTGTGAAATTAAAAAGCAACGAATAGAGTTTGTGGAAAGAACGAAAAAAGGAAAAATAAGGATAAATTCAAACAAAAGGGAAATGGTATCTATTATACGGACAAAAGTAAATAAATAAAGATCCCAGTTAAATATGTTTATATTGAAATTGTTTAAATTGTCCCAAATTAAATTAAAAATTCGAATTGCAAATGTTTTTAGTTACCTATTCTCTAAATCTACACAAAAAATTCTTTCCTTTGTTTCCCCCCGCAAAAAAAACAAAAATTGCTAACTAAAAAGAGGGGAAATGTATAGAGAGAGTGTGACACTTTCAGAGAGCGGCGCACCACTCACACACTGAAAAGGTGCCTCATGACGCAGAGCAACAGTTGCCGGCACAACAACCATACGAAAACGGAACACGATCGATCGTGTCGAATATTTCGTTGTGTTCGACCTGTGCCGACAGCGTCATGTTGGACCGTCAACTTGCGACAACGGCGACACGACAAAATCGCCCTAAGCTTTCGGGAGTTTTACTGGGAGTTACATGGGGCTCAATTGGCAAACGCAGACAAACCAATTTATATTGTTAATATTATTTGAGACACAAAAAATATTTGCACATAAACATCTAGATTCTAGAAATTGGAGCGTAAAATAATGAAACAAAATAAACGGTTAATAACTTCTGAGACTGACTTCTGTGACGACCGACCTCCTTCTGCCCAAGATAATAAAATAAAAAGACAAAAATCCCAATATCTCGAGGGAAATATTTCGAATGGGTCGCAATATTAAGTATGTACCAATAGATATTCACCTATGTGTATTTTGAATCGTCGCTGCTGAATCCAATCCCGTGCCGAATGCTGTTTTATGCGCTTATGAACTTAACGGTTGCAACGACTTTTAACGAATGGCGAGCTGTGGTCGTCGTTAGTGGCAATATCAGCCGCGAGACGAGACTCGAAGCAAAGGTATGCATGTGTATATGTGTGTTGTCGTTCGTGAGAGCGAGAGTGAGAGCAAGAGAGTGCACACCAACACAACCTACACCAACAGCTGATGTCGCGAGTTCCGTCGCGCAAGAAGTACGATATGTATTGTCATCTCACTCTGACCCTGGCCGAACCACATTTATGTGAGGAAGGTTGGGGAAAGAGAATGAGGGAGAAAGAGAGAGGCTGGTCGGCGACGACACAGGCCTCTCTGCCGAAGTGCGGTTTGTGTTTGCTCGGATTTATTCTTCTGCCAATTACATAGATACTTGACAGCCATAGGCTGCCCAAAAGTAAGTTAACCGTTTTGGAATGCACTAATACATTTGCCACTTGAATTTCACCAGAGCCACGCAGGGTTGCCAATTGATTTGTCCCATATATGTAAGGGCAGTGCTGGAGTTTTAAGACAAAGGGATAAACGATCGGACCTAATCATTTTTTTTTCCTACTTTAGAGATCAAAACATGAAATCAATGAAATTTAGTTAATTAAAAAAATTAAATTGGCAAAAAAAACCGGCAACGGCTCGTATGCGCGATGCATTTTGGCAAACAAATATTAAATGTGTGTGTGTATATGTAACCTGTTGCCGGCCATGCATGTGTATGTATGTAGAGCTATCTCTGTCGCTCAGATGTGCATGTATTGCCAATAAGAGAGACTGGAGCACACGCACACTACTCCCACAAGCAGTGGCTTGTTTGCATGTGTATGTGCTATGTTCTCTCTCTCTCGCAAAACTATCTGGTCTGGTGTTTGGTTTTGGTTCTGCGTCGCTCTCCCAATGTTTTTGCAGATCATTCTTTTGAATTTCACAACAAATAAGTGACCCTGAAAAGGGTTGCGGGGTAAGTGAAAAACGAGCCCCGAAAATCGAATTGTTTAATTAAACATTTTTATGTTTAACATGCATATAAATAAAAGTGTATACGTACATGTATTCTAATCTGATTAATAGCAAAATATACTATGTTTCGGCATTTGCCGGCTAGAAAAACGTGCTCGCAAAAATTGGGTCATGAATCAGCTGTCTGCCATGCACTTGAATTTGCTCGCATGTGACATCACAAAAGCCGATGGCAAAGAAGATACTTTGACGAAAATACCTTAAACTCTAATCTATGAAACTGTTCGATAAGTTAAAGGAGCGGACAATGACCATGTATGGAAAAACATTTGTATAGTATACGGAAGCTATAGCCGAAACAAAGGGAGAGATCAGGTGTCTACGCTTGCATTAAAAAATGTAAGAAACTGGGAGACACCCAATGGAAATGCAACAGCTCATCGATGTGGTGACTTCAGACACATTTACCGGACAACAAATTATAATATATGGATCTATATAGGCCCTTTAGCATTCGACGTCTACGTGTGCCATGGATTGTAACCCCAACTAACCAATATACTATAAGTAGATATATATAAGTATGTACATATGCAAGTATATAAAATGTTAAAAAATACCAGGAAATTTAACCTAATGCTTGTATCCAATTTGGATAATTTATCCATTTTGTGGCCTAAATACCACTTTTTTAAATAAAAGAAAAATTCATATAAGTACATACGTAAATATGTATATATTTACCTACATATGTATGTACATATGTACTATTTATATTTACATAAATCTGTTCAAATTCATAAAAATTTCGTATCATTTTCTCAGAGTCATTTTGATAAATATTTTTTTTAATTTGTTCTCTATCTTGTTCCCTATTAGACTAAACTGAATTACACGTACATTAACGTACAGCTATGTACGTACAGACGTACCCTATGTACATACATATGTACAGATTATATAAAATTGAGCCATTCAAAACTTCAGTACGAAATATAAACTGCGTTTCGCTATTTGAAATGATCAAATGATTCACTCCAGGCAGCCAGTTTAACGTCACATAGCAGATAAGAAGAATGTGTAAGACAAATAGAGAGAATAAGAAACGACAACAACACTCTCTTCCGTTCAGTGAACAGAGTCTCTGGGAATCGAATCATTTGTTGCTATGCAGATCGAATTGCACTTTTACAGGAAGAGGAGAACATAAAAAGTGATCTATACTGGGCAATTTTTCGAGCAAATGAAAGTTGTACATATGGTTATGTATACATATAATTGGTATAGACATATTCAACTGTAATATTGTTGGATTTTCTCCAGAAGGTTTTATTGTTTATCTGTCTTTCGTTATTGGGAAAAGTGATCCGATTCGGATGGCAAAAATGATCACCTGTGTGGTATTTCACATGGCTAACCTAAAAACTGATTTAATTTTTGTGTAGCAGACAGACAGACAGATCCAAACTTTAAAAGAAACAGACGGACATGGCTATATTGAACGGACTTTCAATTTATATAAAGAATATACCATGTAAATACATAGTCTCCCTTGCTTTCAAGAGCGTCTGAGACAAATAAAAAGAAATATGTAACGAATTCGTTTGGGCACATATTGAAGTTTTTCTTGTTAAAAGAAGAAAATAAAATCCCACCCATAGGTAGAACAGGGGATAACCAAAAAATTTACAAATATAAAAGCTCAAATTTTGAAGAAAATGCTGGAAAACTTCGAAAAATGAAAGGGGATGGAATATCTATGAGATATATGCATACAAAAATGGAATTTCCAAATTCCATTTACCGACAGATCAGGCTACGGACGAGGCGAGCCGGGACCTGGCCCGCCTTGTCTCCGTTTTGCCATATTCCATCGGGAGCTGGGCCACGCCATGGCCTTCCAACTCGTTTCTTTAATGGGTCATTGCACTGTGATCTTCTTCATTGCCATCTAAGTGGTGAAAGTACCTTGATGTCCTTGGCAGAGCAGCACCTGCCCCCACCACACACACCGGTTGGGCGGTGGTGGGGGGCTGGGCAAGGCTCGTGCCTGCTATCTGACTCTTTCTCTAACTGATTGTTGTATTGATTTTCGATATTTGTTTTTGGCAAGGTATCGCAACAGTAATGAGAGAGTTCTGGGTACATATTTAACACACACAAAACACAGTACTCACCATCAATGAACACCGGAACATCTATCTCTTCAACTGTAGCAGTAGGCATTGCTCCACTCATATCCTGGTGGGACGGCTGCAAGTCTGCACCTGTCAGCTGGATACCAGCCATTGACGCCAGGGTCTGTGACTGGGGCGTGCTCGAAACCGGGACCGTTTGCGTCACCATCTCCATAGTCCGTATACCGACTAGTGTCGTCTGATCGTGTTGTGTTCTTGGCGCCGAGCTGTGCTCTAGTTGGTATGTTGCAGTCCCAGTCGCTGGATACGTTGCGATAGGGGTTACCGTCGCCGAATTCTTCAAGTTTACTGGAGGTAGCACCGTAGGCAGGGCCTGTTTCACTGGCGGACGCGTTGGTACCGACCCTGGTAAAAAGGGTATTCTGATAAAGCGAGTTCGAGGCGCACTGCACTCTGTCCCGTTGCTCTTGTTCTTGCTGCTGCTGCTGTTGCTGCTGCTGCTGCTTGTCGCGTGCGTTTGCGTTTGCGCTGGCACCCTGATCAGTATGATTCTTGGATTTGGTTTCGTATTTATCACGATCGGTATGGTTGTGCTGCTCATCGACGTGTACGAAGCCGAAGCCTTCATAGGCACTGTTGGTCGTTGTTCTCCTGTGAAAGCAGCAGCAGTTGTGCGATGAGTTTCTCCCGCCAGACAGTATTTTTACTGGTACGTTCTGAATATCCGGGGATCGTGCGTGTGCGTTTGCGTGTGCCTGTGCCTGTTCCGGTGCCTGGTTGGTTGACCTCGTCGCTTCGTATGTTGTTGCCCGTACTCGTGCTGGCTCCTGGATCATCAATATTATATCTCTGAGATTTTCGGGACTCTCTCTGGTTGCTGTTGGAGCCGGTCTCGCTGACACTACAATCGGACAGGTGGTTCGGGGAGCTCTGGCTGTTGCTGTTGCTGCTGTTGAAGGAGGTCTTGGTCTGCTCGTGGTTGGTTGTGTTGTTTGTTTCGCTCTTGGGCCTGGCTTGGCTGGTTTGGGATTCGACGGAGAATGCCATTTTGAACGGGGCTGTTTTCGTATCAAATATCAGCATATTTTCGTTTCGTTTCATATGGTTCGATTTGTGGTGCACGGTTTGTTTCGGTTCGACACGATTGTTGCAAAAATTGTATATAAATTAGCACAATTTATATAATTTTTTGTTTGTTTTGGTTATCGATTCAGACAGGATTTGTTGATGAGTGGAGCAAGCGCAGTTAAGAGTTTTCGGTTTATTTGGTTTTTTGGTTTTTATGTGAAAGAAAATAGACAAAAGAAAAAGATTTCGTTATTACACAGATCGACGACGTGGGCGAAGCACGATCCTTGGTAGGGCTCGCGCCTCAAAAATCTTTGTGGTTTTGGGTGGTTGGGTTAGCAATGTACAATGCCTGCCGCCTCCCGACCATGGATCCTGCTGTGAGGGGACCATGGACACGGTCGGTCAATGTCCCAGAGATATCAAATGCTGGGATATCCCTGTGACCATTGATTTGTCAGGCGTTGATTTTTTTTTGGCGATTTCGAGCTTGGATGTGTGATGCGTTGGTTGTAGATGCTTGCGGGGTGTGTTGGGTGTGTGTGTGGGTGTTCTTTTGTAGGCCATGTTTTGTTAGTTACTTTTCCTTTTTTCTCTTTTTTGGCTTGCTTTTTTCTTGTCCACACAATTCCCATATTTTTTCTATATGTTTCTTAGAATTATTTTTCCGTTTTCCTTTATTTTAATTTTTTCTTTTTTTTTTTGTGGATTTTATCCTTTTTTTGTGTATGGAATTTCTCCTTTTTTGAATGGAATTACTCCTTTTTTTGTATGGAATTACTCCTTTTTTTAATGGAATTACTCCTTTTTTCATTGGATTTAATCCTTTTTTTTTCTTTTCTTTTCTTTTCTTTTCTTTTTGTCTTTTTTCTTTTTTCATAAAACATTCTTACAAACTAAAGGTGCAAGGACGAGCTCAACCAAGCATCAAAACCAAGCAAACATGAGAGGCAGTCTTATGTGTAGGTATGATATGATATGGATCAGGACATTGAATACTCACTTTTAATTGACCGTTAGAAAGAAACAATGAAATTGTTAGGATCCCTCTAAACAAGCTCTAAAAAGAGTCGTCGACACAAGTTCCCCTTAGGCTGTAAATTAAAGAATGGAAGAGAAGGCACATTACTTATAGGGCCCACAACATGGTCAGATCGATCAGATCGCATTGATAACTCTAGGTAGATTTGCTTTTGAGCCCTCTTCAATTGTAATTACAGATAGTCGAGTTGTTTTCGCCCAATATGGTAGTTCCTTGTTCGATAGGGCTGCCCTCCCAGCGCCTTTCAAACGTCTGATAAGTGACCCCCGCAAAAGCTTTTGCCACGCTAAACGTATTTCACCAGAGGCATGGCATGGCATGGGGCATGGCACCAACAGGTCTCTGCAGCCAGTGGCGCGGGGAATGGCTAAGTTAATCAGCAGTTGGCAACGTCACCTACCCCCGCGCACCCTGGCACCCTTCCACAATTATCACTTAGATAATTGTGCCATAGAACATAGCCCCAGCTCCATGTACATACGGAGGTACATTATCTCACTTCAATATCAGAGAAATTGTCGTGTGGCCGGTGCAAAACAACACCAAAAAGCAATTATCAAGCGATGGAAAATTTCCCCCCACCCAAAAGCACACGCGAGCTTTGTCTAATAGGCACGGCACGGCACGGCACACGTATGGCTTTATAATTACTATTTCTCGCAAATCAAAAGAAAAATCCCCTCAAAGCCCCCTGTGTAAATTTGATCAACATTTTTGCTTGCATGCCGCTGCCGCGCCGCTGCCGCTGCCTCACTGACGTCACTCACTCACTTAAGCAATTCAATATGGCGGTCTTTTCACTCATTATATACAGTATATACAGTATATGTAAAAGCCAGCACACACTTGTACATACATGATGTATATTTAATGCCTATTTTCATAGGGATTTACTTACATTTGAATTAGTAAAAATGTGTCTTCAAGCGCGGTTGTCCGGTTGTCGAAAACCCGACCGAAAAAAATTCACTTGGAATTTGTGCTGCGCAATTTATTGGGTGGTTCCTGGCACCACCACTTGGATATTGGGTCGCCTTTGGCCGTTTCTACGATTTTAACGGAATACTTTGTTCCACGACAATTGTCTGGTTGTTGTGCCACGTAGAACAACAACGAATAAAATTAATTCACACTGTGGTTCCTTTTTGGAAGGAACGTTCTGTTGACTTTATATAAATTTCACTGAACTTGTCTAGCAGAACTTTGTGCTGTTCACTTGATGGCTTGAGTTGAGTTGAACGACGAAGACGGGCAATGTGTGAGTCAACTGACTGCTTGAACAATTCACTGCGAATTGAATCGACCGTCGGTGCAAGTTGGACAAAACGGAGACTCTGTTGGGCCTCCACCAGTTGTGTGAATTTAATTCTGTTGTGAAATTCAAAAAGCTCAGCGCAAACCAGTTTGCCATGCTCAGATACTTTTCGTGTGCGTGTGTTCGTGTAAAAGCTGGCGCACACAAAAGCTACAAGTGTGCGAGCGAGCGAGAACGCTTAAATTTCCCCCTGAGGCCAGCTGGCATACGAATAAATTGCCCTGCCACCACTTTGGATGCGGCACAAAGAAGATCTGAGGCCGGCCGGCAAGAAAACAATACAATAATAATAAAAACTAAGAGTACATTGCTCGCATGTCTGTGCCAGCTGCACAAGTCTACAATTGTGCATATGTAATGTTCGAACAAATGTGTTTTATAACACAGAGAATATTCGGCATATGATTCATTCGTCTCGAGTATGTATGAATCAGAATTGCCGGTCAACTGACCTAGCGCAAAGATATATGCATTGAATAGATAGAAAAGATTTGTAAATTATTTTTGAGCACTTTGATGTTCAAGAATTAAATAAAGAACAATCATGCAAACATGTGCTAGCGTTTTCTTTTATATAAGGAACAGGTATAGTACCCTGCAGTTAGTTCGGCTATGAAGGATTTGATATAATATTTCTATTTTTAGCAGTGACATATCTCTACATCTGTATAAAATCAAAAACACTTTCCTATATGCCATACATACCCCTTTTGTAGCAATTTCAATGTTACAACACCTTGCAAGGTTTCAAACATTGACGTCGGTCCACGACAATGCAAGAAACGTTGACATTCAAACAGGGGAAATTTCTGTATATATTCTGTCTCGCTTTTATAAAGCTGCATTCCCATACACACATACACTCGCACAGAAGAGCTTTCGTGCAGCTGTGTTTGTAAGCAGTCGCAGATAAAAGCTGGCTGAATTCTCAGAATTAAACAGCTTTCATCTGGCAACTACAATCAGACAAACTTTGTGATGCATACATATGTATGTACATGTGTATGTACGTGGGAAGCTTTAGCCGATAATTGAAGAAATTCATGAGTCATGCTGAAAAACAGAAATCACCAAAGCGAAGAAAGCTCCAACCAGACCAACGTTCGGTTGGCAAAAAGAGTGTCATCATGTGATATTTGTAATGCGAATGACGACTGCGAGCACTAATCGCGTGGGGTTTAAGTTTGGCCACGTATCTAAAATACATACACATACAGCTTAATTATAGGCAGGTCTCTGTCTCTGCCCGCATAGGTGTGCAGAATTCGTGGAAATTTTGTGCCTAAAAAGACCACTCCACCGATGCCCACAAGCTAAATACCGAATGCTAATCTGGCACCGTGCACCGACTGGCACGAGATCGAAAACAAGCAACAACAATGGCCACACTTTGTTGGCAAGCTTCCAAAAAAAAGACGCGAAAACCCATGCTAAGGCCGTCTCATGATGATTCGGCTAATTTCTGCCACAAGGGTAGAACCAAACCTGGAACTACATAGATTGTACATACATACATATATGTGGAGTAAGAAGACACACGAAAGTTTGCTTCCCTGTTTGCCCTCCCCTATCTTATCACGTATTTCTAATCAATTCTGTTTATCTGATCCGTGAACTTAAACTGTAGAAGCGTGGTGCTGGCTCGATTATAAATGTGTACCTATGACTAAGACTGAATATATGTATATGTATTTGGTACGATGAAATCTAAGGTATTTCCTAAATACAAGGCTAATTTTTAAACGTTATGGACTTGACGGACTCTACACACAATATAATATGCCCGAATTGTAGGGCACCTCCACTTTTGTAGGTGAAGGGCTCGAGCTGAGTGATTAATAGCCCTCACTAATCGTATCGTGAATACCTTTACAAAGTTCATTGGGATTTAACCCTATAATAAGCAACAAAACTATTTGTATAGTTGTACCTGAATGGAATCCACCTTTGCCCAACTACTGTCAGATACCAATAGGCCTGCCTATGTAGTGTAGTGTGTTTTGCCGTATCTCATGTAAGTTTACAATAGGCCCAAATGGGAGGGCTCGTCACTGTTGCTTTTTTAGTGGCCGATGTCAATGACTTTGCCGGCAACAAATGTGTCTAGACTCTAGAGAATGTTGTCTAGGGGTAGAAAACAAACTTACCGTCCATCATGTTGCTGCCGGGGGGCAAGCAAGTTCCGATGACGACAAAAAAGGTTCCTTGTTCCTTGTGTTTCCTTGGAGTATCAGAATCTGTGTATGGTATGGTGGACTGGGCTGGAGTGGGATTGACGTGAAGCGAATGCCTCAAAAGCGAATAAAAGAGCGACGGCAAATGTCGCCCCGAATGGTGGTGGTGACGTTCCGCTTCTTTCGTAGCAGCTTCTTTAGAGTGTTCTTAGTGCCGGTGCCGGTGCCACACTTGGTCTTGGTATTAAGGTGCTTGTTACAGTGATTAATATTGTTATTGTTATTATTATGCCAGCCACGCATACGCATACACATGAAATTGTTTAGCATGGGAACTTGCTGCTGCGATTGTTGCACACACATGGGGAGGACAACGACAGGCGAGTGTTGCATGACGTTGAAGCTCTGCTTGGGGGGGTTAGACTTCTGCTGGTTGCTCACTATCGTTGCTGTTGTTGTTGCTGCTGCTGTTGTTGTTGTTGACACAGTAGACACAACGAACATAATATTGGGGCAATAAGCCGATTTATATATATAAACTCTATGGGCAGATCTAGTCTGTAGTATGAACCGATTCAGATAAGGGGTTTTATTTTTCGCAATTTGTATGTCGCACACGGTTATTTTATAAGCATCTAGATACAACTCTTATCTCAGATACTACAAGTATATATGTATAAATAAATGTCTGCTTTCTGCACACTGGACTTTGCACCAAAAATTGAGTGTTTTTTTCGTTTAGATATTCACACAAAGGAAATTACTGTGATATGAATATGAAATCTTTGTAACGATGTTCAGCGCTTGATGCCATTAAGAATCGCAATTTGATAAACTTGATCGGAATTGAGTCGGAAATTTCACAAATTTCACACTTATTTGCTCACAAAAGGCTGTTTGTTTTCTACTGACTCTCAAAAGGTTGTTCTGTTCACGACGGCCGAAGTATTGTTACTAACTCAGCTGCGACTCAGCTACGTCGACGCTGGACGATGGCTGTCCGGGGTTGAGTTGATAAAAGTGTTTTTGCTGACGTATTTGCCCCGCTCTCTGTCTGCTATATTTGCAAAGTATATGCCCGCTATTTTCCACTAGATGTAGTAGCGCTCTCTTTCTCCATCAGCGCTGGCCGTGCCCCCAAAATCATCTATGCTGAGATGCCACAAGCTGTAGGGTATAGATTTTTATTAAGGCATCTAGGTGTAGGCAGTGGGTAAGTTTTTCTTTGAGTACATTTCACTGCCGGAAAGTAGTTCGATCTGGATATGATATGTGTAGAAATGCGAAATGAATCATTAGTTTGCTCTTTACTTTGTATAAAATGTGTAAAGGTGTGACAAAAATATATTCCTTAATAACTTATCATGCAATAAATTCAGTCTAGTGCGCAATCTATTAATGCTGTGGCGCGTGTACATACAAAAATTGTACAGATAATATTTTCACCATGCATACTGGGGCTGGTGCTGGGGCTTATCAAGTGCCGCCCGAATGCCCGCTGATAAGAAATGTCTAACAGATACATAGCTCCGATAATTTCTGATTGTAATTCTTCATGTTTCGCAAAAGGTTATCAAACTGAAATGTAAATTTGCGGCATGGGAATCGCTTTATGTGTGCCTGCTATGACTGCTCTGTTGGGCGTAGGGGAACCTGTTTGCCGAGGCAGCAACAACAGCATGCAGCATGCGAAGCGCTCTCAGAGCAACAAAAACTCTGTGCGCCGCTCTCTCTCTCTCTGTCTCTCTGGTAGGTCAGATTGGCTGATGCAACACTTGCCACACATTTCAACAGATGGTTGGGCCCACAGCTGATTTGATTTCTTTGGTTTGGACTGTTTGGCTTGCTGCCAAACTGAGAGGGGTGGCCAACAACATGTTGCCAGGCCGCACAGCACGTGCTGCTCAGCTCAGAATGTTGACAAACATTTTGCGTCGAAAGTTCTGGCGAATGTGAGCTGAAAAGGGGTTGGTTGCTGGGCTCAGTGTAACTGTCTAAAATTAACCAAAAGGCGAATATGAATCATGTCCATGTTGAAGGGTAGTGAGGCCTCTTATATAACATCGAAGAGCGGTGCTAACGCTGTTGACGTTGCAGACATTTGCGACTTTACTTTATTCCCCATGGTCACATAATATAATATGCATCATCATGTGGGGGTTCTGCTGGGGAAGAGCTGACAACTGACGTGGTTCCAATTGGATGTTTTGTATCTGCGCTGTGTGGCATGATAATATTCGATTCTAATACGTGTTGGATCCCCAATGGACAGTATTATTCGTACTACGATTTGTAACGTATAGATGGAAAATGCAAACTATTTTGAATGCCAATCAGCAAATGTTTTTATTGAATGTGTTTGCATGTACAAAAACACTCCTTTATCTGTGGACTATCCTATGTTAAAGTTAGCCTGTCCCCTGAAATTTATGGATTCAAATTAAATATGAAAATTATTGATTTTTTGCCTCCCCTGAATTTCCCTTTTTTTTTGTGAATATTTTAACCCATTTTAACAGATAATTAAATACATGAATAAATAAATCAATATATATTAAATAGATACATAAAAAAAAAAAACCAACATATGTTATAATTTCTAATTAATACCAACTAATGATTAGTCTAATTCACTAGTCAACCTTTTTCTCAGGAACAAAACTTTCTTGTTGGGGTTGGGTTGATGTTTTTTTTTTTCCTTTTTTTTTTTTTTAAGTTTTTTCAGGGTGTTTTACTGCTCCCACTTTAAGTATTAAATTAAGCCCAAATATTTGTTTTCATGAATAAATAAAATGATCATTTTTTATGAATTTGCTTTGTAGAAAGTGAAAAAAATTATATTCTAGATTGGGGTTTAGGTATCCTCATTAAAATCTATGGGATTGGGTAAATCCATAGGGGGGGGGGGGCTTGGGGGGCGGGGCGCGCCGGGGGGGTTGTTGCTCCGCCTTCCTGACGACGCTAAAGGGACACATTTTGCTTTGGGTTTTGAATTTGTCCACAAATCATCATTTTGCTTTCAGTTTACGGTAAGCTGAAACCAAACTATTTGGGCTTACTTCTAGCTGTTTTAATTACCTTTTCAAAATAGCAAGTCTTTACAACCAGACGTGTCAAGGCTACCTCTGAAGCTTCCCGTCTTTCAAAAGCTGCTGCATAATCTTTTTTCCATACTCAGCGGTTTGGACTGGGGGGTGGTTATAGCCCCTTGCTTGTAGCATACAATAAACAAACAATACAATACAGTATACTAAATAAAATAAATAAATATAATATAAAATGGAAAAGCTTAGAGGGTTGCTTTGTCGGTGAAACTTTTTTTTTTTAAATGTCTTTTACTGTAGAAGGTAACTTAAGGTACTATTTCACCTTACAGCATTTTAAACGGGAAAATGCTGATTGTAAATTCAGTTTCTTTACTTAAAAAAACAGATTAAATTAAATTTAAATATACATCTACATCAATTTTTTTTGGTGCTTAGAAAACATTAAAATTAAGAGCTATTATTGGATTGAGAATGTTTAAGAAATAATTAAAACATCAGTGGGTCACCTAATTCAATAAATGTAGTTATTTAAAGCGAGTGTGCACTGTAGTCAAACCGCTCTGAAAGAAAGTCGAACAAAGTGAATGTACGCAGACAAATGTATTAGTAAGCCGTGCTCCCGCTGAGCCCCGTGCTGTGAGTGGCAAAGAGATTAAAACTGGAATTGAATGCGACTGGGACTGAGACTGGGACTGACTGAGCCTGGAAGTGGAGGTGAGCGAGCCGGAGAAATGTGAGAACAGAGAAACAAACAAGCAAAGATTTAGCTGAGAATGCTTAAAAAGTATTGGAATCATTTGGGCCTGGTCTCAGTGCGGTGACGACGTCCATGGGATTACCTTGTGGCCTTCAATTTGCGGTTCTGCGGTTCAAACTCGGAGTTGGAAATTTTTGTGATGCGGCTGTTCATCTCAGTGCTGGTGATCCTAGCGATCGGTGGAGGAACCTATGCCAAGGCAGCAGAACCGAAGAATGTGCTACTCCTGCTGGCTGATGACGCGGGCTTTGAGATGGGGGCCTACCTGAACAAGTTCTGCCAGACGCCCAATCTGGATGCGCTGGCCCGGCGCGGTCTGCTCTTCAACAACGCCTTCACCTCGGTGAGCAGCTGCAGTCCCAGCCGCGCCCAGCTGCTGACGGGGCAGGCCAGCCACGCCAGCGGCATGTACGGACTCCATCAGGGCGTGCACAACTTCAATGTGCTGCCGGAGGTTGGCTCGCTGCCCAATGTGCTGCGGGAGCAGAGCAACGGCCGCATCCTCAGCGGCATCATTGGCAAGAAGCATGTGGGAGCGGCCGCCAATTTCCGCTTCGACTTCGAGCAAACGGAGGAGCAGCACTCGATCAACCAGATTGGCCGGAACATCACCAAGATCAAGGGCTATGCCCGGGACTTCCTCAAGCAGGCCAAGGACGAGCAGAGGCCCTTCTTCCTGATGGTCGGATTCCACGATCCACATCGCTGTGGCCACATAACCCCACAGTTTGGGGAGTTCTGCGAGCGCTGGGGCAGCGGCGAGGAGGGAATGGGCAGCATACCCGACTGGAAGCCCATCTACTACGACTGGCGCAATCTGGAGGTGCCCGCCTGGCTTCCGGACACGGACGTGGTGCGCCAGGAGCTGGCCGCCCAGTACATGACCATCTCGCGATTGGACCAAGGCGTGGGCCTGCTCCTCCGCGAGCTGGAGGCCTCGGGCCTGGCCGACCACACGCTGGTCATCTACACCTCCGACAATGGACCACCCTTCCCCGGAGGACGCACCAACCTCTATGAGCACGGCATCCGATCACCCCTGATCCTCAGCTCAACACAGCAAGGTGATCGTCGTCATGAGACAACGGCTGCCATGGCCAGTCTCCTTGGACATATATCCCAGTGTGCTGGACGCCCTCCAGATGCCACCACCAAACGGCACCAAGTTCAGTGGCAAGTCCCTGCTGCCTGTCCTAAAGCAGGAGCCGCCCGCAAAGGAGAGCGATGCGATCTTCGGCAGCCAAAGCTACCACGAGGTGACCATGGCCTATCCCATGCGAATGGTGCGCAACAGGCGCTACAAGCTGATCCACAACCTCAACTACTGGGCAGACTTTCCCATCGATCAGGACTTTTACACCTCGCCCACATTCCAGCAGATCCTGAACGCCACAATCCACAGGCAGCCGCTGCCCTGGTATCGCACCCTGCTGCAGTATTACCAGCGACCCGAGTGGGAGCTCTACGACATCAAAGTGGACGCCTTGGAGCGGTACAACCTGGTGGACAAGCCCAAGCACAGTGGCACCCTCAAGCAGCTGCGCCAGCAGCTCTACCAGTGGCAGGTGGACACCAAGGATCCCTGGCGCTGTGCCCCACATGCTGTGCTGCAGGAGCAGGGCGTCTTCAAAGCGGATCCCGTCTGTCTTACCCTCGGCCACGAGGCATTGGTCCAGAGCACTAGGCGGAGGGTCCTAACTCAATATGAGGAGTATGTTCTGGTCTAGCAACTCAATTTGGCAAAGTGTCTTACAATATTTACTGTCTTATCGCACCGTCAACAAGGGAGAGCAATGCAAAGTGCTGATAACAATGAGAACTGAACTTCTTGGTGCTACTCCCTGCAAAGCCAATCGATTTGGCTACATGGCTATTTAAATATTATTGTATTAAAATGTATTTTAAATTAAAATTTGGCTTGTTTAAAAATACATTTATGAGTTTAATAACCATTGAGAATAATTTTTAGCAGACTTTTTCAATTGGATCTTGCGACATTTGGCTCAAAACAAAAAAAAAAGTAAATAAATAAATAAAATTTGTGGACACGGAAGTTGTTTGGAAAAGAATTGGCATTATCTATAGGGTTGAAATACTTTATAAATATAATAATACCCACTTGAAAAAGGGTACAACAATCCAAAGTGCTGATAGCAAGAACGACTTTCCTTTGTTACTCATTTCCCAAGTGGCTACACTGCCCCACAAAAATGCTGCACATACTCGTACTGGCAGCAACCCATAAAAAATGGCTCTCGAAATGAAAGAAAATCGCCACAGACGAACAAATATTCCTGGCCGCATGACCTCAGCCACTTTGGGGAGGGTGTCAAGATGGGATGACTCTCTGGGGTGGTGTGCGTCACGTTTCAATGTCATGCCCATTGTGGGGGGATGGCAGCTTTTGGGGGTTGCGCCCCGCCTCGCTTTTGTGTCTCACTGTCTGTGTGTGGAAAATCGAAAATTTCAATGCTTCTCTGGTTTATTGGTGGCGCCGCTGCCAGAGCCAGAGCTGCTTCCCCAACTCATCTGCCGTGCAGCATCCATCCGAGTCAGTGTTACACAACATGCACAGACCTCGTGGCTGGGCCAAGGCTGCCACTGGAACTGGGTTAGGTAGGGGTGGGTAGCGGAAGAAACGGAAGTGCCTGCCGGTTTAAGGTCAACGAGGAAATACCAAAGAGTAAACTGGGTGTTGTGCCTTTTTCTCATTTATGACTTTGAACGAAAGACACATTAAAAATTAAATTTTATTAATTTGGTTTTGGTTGGTTTTGCATAAATTATGTTCTTCAGTTTAGCGTAATTATATTATATGTGTATATTTTTTATATTGTATATTATTTAAGTTTCCGCCCACACAAATGCACAATTACAATTATTATTGTTGCCATCTTCTGCCATCAATAAAATATTTATTCCGATACTATGGGGAGAGGGGCGGCCGGCCACCACAGACGGCTGCAACCGCCACCCTCTGGAAATGATCGGCGCCTGCCTACATATTCGCGGGGCGAGTGTTTCCATATAATATTTGTTAAATTTTTTTTTTGTTTGCTCTTTAACTAATTTATTATCAACACAAGTTGCATGGATTTTTTAATTAAATTTCGCTTTATACGTAAATATATTATTGTATACGTATATATCTTTGCATGCACATAGTATACAATAAATATGTATGTACATTCGTGTGTGTGTGTTTGTGTATAGATCGCATACATACATATGCCAACATGAGACTATTTTAATAATTTTAAATTTGTTTTGTGATTTGTTTGTTTATTCTTATTCGTTCTGGGTTCCATCTTTCAATGCAATCGTTCAATTCAATTTCCATACATATACTTGTATGCATATACATATAATTTGATCTATATCTTGCGGTTAGTAAACGCGTTTAGTTAGTAGTTGTTTTGTAAGTTTTGCTATGCTTCGATTGACTTGACTGGTTTCGCTTACGTTTACAGAGTTTATTATCAACATCAACATCCTTCTGGAAATCGTTTAACTAGTTTATATATATATATATATCTATGTATGTATGTATATATATATATCCGTATATGTATGTATGCTGGTTGGTATTGTTTAGGAGGATTCTGTTACATTTACTTTGCTTCTAGTTTAGTTTATCATCTCGTTAATTGTTTTATATTGTATTACGTTGCTGCTCAGTATAATTTATAATAAATACATAATAATAAATATACATGTAGATAATACGCTTAATAAATATATTTATATATATATCTATTTGATTTCATTTATATATATATAATAGTTATGTATATAAATAACAAAAAAAACAACACACATAAAAAGGAGCAAAAATGGTAGGATACGATACAAATTTTTTTTTGCTTTGATTTATCCTTGAATCTTGAATTATTCTTACAATTTTACAACGAACATCGAGAACGGTATCAGTATTGGTATTCTTGGTATTGGTATTGATATTCCGTTTGCCATTTAGAATTGAATAGAATAGAATATAATTGAATAGAGTGTGGGGGGGAGTATTGTTTTTGCACAAATATATGGGTAGGTTTTTTGGTTATCCAATAAATAAGCTTGGGTATATATGATGTGGATAGGATAGCGCTGGCTTACTATATAAAGGGATTTCCCCGCATAGAGAGCTCATGTTTATGAAGAGAGTTAAAAGTTAAAATTACAACGAACGAGGAGGGGCTTGGTTAAGAGTTGGAAGAAGACAGAGCAGAGGAGGAGATAAATCACAAAAAATATCATTGGAGGCTGCCACTGAAAACACTGAGTATGGGGCAACTAATTAATTCATTAACAAGAGTGCTTTACTGTTGTCCGTAATGTTCGAGTACTTGCTTTTTGTCGCGTACAAATCGAACATCGCAGATATACGCCAGCCAGCATCTATTGTGGGGAGAGCTCGAATTGAGTTGGAACAACATTTGCCGAACATCGAACATCGAAGAATAAAATGGAAAACGCAAGGAAATCGCCTTTCGCTTGTAACACTTGTAAATTTAGTTAGTTATATGTACGTACAATATTAATTTAACTTGTAATTCATTTGAGTTGTGTTTTTTTGGTTGCTTGTTTTGTTGTTGCATGGTAATTATTGTGTTGCCAACTGGTAAGATTTTCGCAATTTTGTTTCGAAATTTTGTTTCTTTTATGTACTGTATACATATATGGTAAGTCGTATGTATGCATATGGTTTATATGGTCTGCCTTGCCTGCATGCAATTGTCGTTTATATGGCCACGTGAATGTGCTGAATGCTAGCTAGCTAAGCCGTAAACATATCCGTATAATCGTATCGTAACCGTATAGTAACCCGCATCTAATCAACTATGTGTATGTGTGCTGCCAAACTTTGCGCCTCTAATGGCGAAACCAACATTAAGGTTATTGTTCTCCACCATGATCTACGACTTCAGCCAATTTGATAGGGTTAAATGGGGGATTGTGGGAGGAAGCTGATAGCTGATACTTGCTAGCTGTTAGCTGTTAGCCGATAGCTGTTTTGCTTAGTTGCCATTGGGCAGTGGGACCTGCACCTGAACATAGGATTGCGGGAAGTAACCGGTGCGGCCATTGACGGCACCCTCATACCAATTATCGTCGACGCGATTGAGCAGCGTGATTATGTCGTTCTCCTTGAAGCCCAACTCCCCGGGATTCTCCGGATCGAAGTCGTAGAGGGCTTGGCAGCAGGGCTGCTGCTGGCGCGATGGTGTTACGGCCATCGACTTTGCGGGCGAGCGCATCGGCGAGGGCAACGGCGAGGCGCTCGAGCTAATGTGGGACGGCGTGCCGTCATCAATGAGGCCGCCGCCACCGCCGTCCAAGTTCAGATCGAGCAGCGTCTTGGGGACAAACTCATTGCGTGGCCGGCTCTCAGCCTCGGATCGTTTCTCTTGCAGCGTCTCCTGCAGGCCGCGCAGCACATCGGCACACTGAGAGTGAAAATCGTATAGTGCCTCGGCAAAAGTCACCAATTGTGAGACATGTTCAGTGTCGTTTTCCAACAGATTGAACATGCCTACCTGTGCCAATTGCAATGATTCGGCAAACTTATCCTCAGCACCACGAATTTCATCATCTTTGGCCTGCCGGCGACGCTTGCAGTCGAAGTCGAGCCGCCGACCCTGCAGCTTCTTGCGATGGTGCATAACCTCCTTGAGGTCTTTCATCTGCATATGATGAAGGGGTTCCAAAAAGTTCTGCTTGATATTGTCGTCCAGCGAGTACTTGACGTCGGCCATCTGTTTCAGCGACTCGCCAAACTCGACGAGCGCCTGCGCAAACACGCTGTTGTCCTCGCCGAGCTTCTTACCATAAGTCAGCATACATTCGGCCAGCAGTCCCTCCGGCTGTGGATACGTGTTCGATTTGGCCTGTCCCGACAACTTCGAGATGCCCTTGACTGCGGCCATCTTCGCACGCGCCGTCGGATTCGGCTGCAGGAACTCCTTCGTCTTCAACTGCAGCTCCTCCACCAGCTCCACGGTCACGTCCGTCTTTCGCTCCATCTCCATGAAGTCCATGTCCAGCTTGGTGCCCTCGGCGCCACCCATCTTCTCCGTCATGTACTGGTTCGCCTTGTTGATCTGCTTCTTTAGTCCAGCGAAAGCCATGGTGATGCTTTTTTTCTCTCTCCCCGCCTCTTGTCACTAATGGAAATGTGGATGTGGGACCTGGTTGTCCGCCTGCTACTGCTGCTGCTGCTTATGCTGCTGCCTCTGCGCTGCCTCTGCTATGCTGTGGCTGTGCTGTGCTTCAACGACGACGCGGTGGCTGTGAACGGGTTGGTTGAGTTAGTTGACTTGCCTGCTTTTACCGAGAGAGACTCAATTTCAATGTCGAGATATCAATTGATATTTTTTGAGGCGTTTGCTGTGTTAGCTGCGCGTTTCTATTTTTAACGTTTGGAAGACTTACGCGGCGTGCACTTTTCGTCAATTTCTGCTCTGGGCTGCGTTGCTACTGCTGCTCTCTGCTGGTCTCCGCAGTCTCTGTAGCTGTGGCCTGCCTCTGCCTTTGCTGGGTGCTACTGCTGTACTGCTGAGGGGGTGCTTCCGTGGGGGTGCTTCTTCGGCAGCGCGCGCGTGTGTGTGTGTGAGTGTGTGTGTGTTGGAGGTTGGAGGCTGTGTCACAAACGCCAAAGGCAAGAGAATATTAATTCGAGTTCTACTTTTTCTCCAGCACTTTCACTCGCTTAGCCTGCACTGCACGTTCTGGGCTGCTCTGCTCTGCGTCGCGTCGCGTCTGAATGCGATTCACCTAGCTTCGATTTTTTTTCGCAGAACCTTGGGCTGCGTAATTTTTGAAGGACTGTCGTTACTACTATTTCTCCCTCTGGCTTCTTGGGGGGCTGGGGGTTCGCGTTTTCCAAAGCAAAAATCGATATCTCAACCGTGTACAACAATTTCCGAATAGGGATGGGGAACTAATGATAGACCAGCATATCGATATGCATTTTCATCGGCTATAACATAATGTCAAAATACCAGCTCTAGTGCACTGTAAAAAGAAACAGGGCTGTATTTCTGAGCTACTCGATATTCATTGGCGGACTTTTCGAATTCCAACGCATGCACAGGAATGATTGAAAATAATCAGGAAAATTATGTTGAATGGATGGATGGACCTGCTGGAAAATACTCTGCTAGTATACGGTAGAGTCCCTGGTATTTACAAAAGTTATATTTCTAATACATATTTACTACATCAATGTTATGATTAAATCGTGGCGGCAGCTGTTAATGGAAACGCTGTTAACTCGTTAACAGCGTCTGTAACATTGCAATTTTGCCGCTCAAAACCCTAACAGCTGCTATTTCAAAAATGCAATTAATTCAAAAATGTTTACCCAAGTTAATTCAAGGAACAGCCATGACGTCATCGCATGAGGCAGCACTTTGGCCAACATTCTTGCTTCCCACTTTTTATCTACATTTGGAAGATAACCGCCGTATACGGGGCTCAGCCAAACAAACAACGAACATGTAAATCAGTTCAATCGCGGTAGCGCGGCAGAGGCAGATATGGTGGAGATAAGGCCATCCGATCTTGTTTTTAGTTGCGTATAAAAGCCCCCTCCACAGACCACCAAAGCATTAGTCTCTCCGAAACCCAAACGACTGAGTCCCCACCCCCACTCAGAAGAAAATGAAAATCGCCATCGTACTACTTGTGGCCGGCATTGTCTGCGCCAACAGCCAGGTAAGGGGAGAGCGCTAGCTAGTTCTGATTCCAATGGCAATAATCATAATTTTGCTCTCCACGAACAGGCAGCACCAGCTGCAATCGGCGGCGGCGGCGGCATTGCCAACAATCCCTTTGCGGCGGCCAATCCCTATGCGGCTGCGTTCAATCCCTTCCTGAACGGACTTTTCGGTGGTGCCGGTGCAGGCGGAGCAGGAGCTCCAGTTGCTGCCACGCCGCCCTTCGGTGGCGCCTCCATCTCATCGTTCTTCCAGTCTGTGGTGCTGCAGCGGGAGGCCGAGCGTCTGCTCAGCCAGCCCAACTTCCCCACCGACCTGGCGGAGCGTGTCCAGGATGTGGTGGCCAACTCGCAGGAGACAATTGCCGGCTGCAGCACACCCGCCACACTGCCCTGGCTGCAGATCCGTTGCGTCAAGCCCCTGCTGACCAGCGCCAAGAACGAGCTCAAGCTGATCGATGACGAGTGGCAGGCACGCCAATTGGCCGCCGCTGCCGCAGCTCCAGCCTAGGAGCGGACACAGTTGCACTTTCAATCCAGTATTTAATACCTTATTTAATTTAATGTTTTGTCTGTTTAGCTGAGGGCAATCGACCAACATAGTTGCAATAACATTCAAAAATAAGCTCAATGCCGGAATTCTTGCACTTACTTCTTGGGCTTGGGCTATTGGGGAAAGGGTGGCAGGGTGGCAGGGCGGTAGAGGGAAGTGTGGCGCTCTTGACCTAGACCAGTGGATGCTTTGATGTGGCTGCGACTGGTCGGACTTTGCATTCTTCGCTTTATTACATTTCCCATTCAGGAATTACAAAATTAGGCGCTGCTTCGAATCGAGTCGAAGATTTTAGTTGGGATGAAGCATGAAGGAGGGGAGTTGGAAGATACTTGCCCTGCTCGCGTCACAATAAGTTGAAGACGACCTCGACCCTTGCTCCCTTGTTCTGCTGCCTGCTCCTTGGCCCCATGATTGGCGCGCCCTTGGGGCTGTTAATGCTCTGGCGCATACTTGAGTCAAGCCAAGTTTGGGGCAAGTCTTTGGGTCTTTGGGTTTTGGGCCATTGAGCAGGCAGCGCTAGAACTTGACGCATTTTGGTCAAATATTTGAATTCCGTTTGCCCTGCTGCTGCTCCCCGTTTTATTTGCCAGCCTTTGTGCGCGGCTTTCGTCTTTGACCGCTTGGGGTCTGAGACGCAGGGCAGCCCTTTTCTGCACTTATCAATTTGCCGTAGACTTTTGGCCTGCCAAATTGTTTCCAGTGCATGATTTGGCTATGAATTGGCCCATGGAGAGCAGAGCCACAGAGCCAATGTCGAGTGCTGATTTATGCGGTGCAGTGCAGCCTCAATTATCATTGCCCAATTGTTGTTCCTGCAGGGGTCCCTTTGCCATCGCCATCGCCTTCGCCTGACCCACCCGCCACCAACAAGCTCGATTCAATTCGATTTGTTATGGCATTTGCATATGAATTTGAGGAGGACCCACAAGGGCTCCGACTCCTGCAAATGGCTCGGCTTAACGAGCCAAAGTCTGGCCGCAAATGACCAACTGGCAGGATGCAGGAGGATCGATAAGCCGAAAGAGAATGGACAAAGCCGGCAGTGGCCAGGGGTTGGAGGTTGGAGGGATTTAATTTCAAATTCAAATATGTAATTAAATGTAAATTTCAAACACAAACCCCGCTTGCTGCTGGCTGCTTGCTGCTGGCTGTGGCTGCCACATACACAGCAGAACCGACTGAGGCGCATTAGGAGTGCGTGGGGGGGGCGATTCGGATCTGGGGCGAGTGCAAAGTTTGAGCCACTTAATTGAAATATTTTGAAGATTGAAACTCTTGGGTTTCTCTGGCTGCTGTCATTACAGCAACAGCCCCACCGAACTCTCCAAAGTTTTCGTGTAGTGTTAGCCGCTTGCCCCCAACCAACACCCATCACCCATCACCCATCAGCATGCCCCCACCACCGCTCCCAACTTCCCCAATCTACCCAGAAACTCAAAACTGAAGCATCCCTCTGCTGCCCTGTTTTTCGGGTAATGCAAAAGTTGTGCCATTTGAAATTCACGCAGCACTGAAAAAAAAGAGAAATGCAAAGTCCAAAATGAAATCCAGCCGCATTCGGGCAGCCCAACTAAATATATATGCCAAAATCGGTTACCAAAAACAGTTGTGGGTGGTCGGGGGGAGAGGGAGGGAACACACTCTAAAAGTGCATACATATACACTCGCACGATATGTATGTAAATTTGTTATGGGCTTGTGGCTTTTGTTTTGATGCAAAAGTTGGATGACCATTTTTTTGCGGCTGTGTGGCTGCTGTCAGAGTTCGTTAGTTTTGGGGATAGAAAATTAGGAAATACTTTCGACTAAAGCGAAATCGAATGATGAATCATCCCACCAGCCATCCAGCCCCCCCACCCCCACACTACTCAACTATTTGCTCTGCTGTTCACACTCAATGGCCACTGCTACTGTTGCTTGAATCTGCCCGAGTGCCACTTCCGTTGGCTCTGCAGATAAGGCAACACTTGGCTGATCTTCTCCCAAGAAATATGATCAACATAAAACATAATTAGGTTGAGGCTATCAGCGCTGGTAAGATAATGGAGGCTGTAAACATTATCAGCGCAAACACAGAGCAGGCCAAGATATCAACGGCATCGCGGGGCATGTGGGCTCAGTTGGCCAGTGAAGGTTTTCGGAAAATGTCGACTGCATCGCTGATCGTGTTCTGTGTCTGTGCGCTGCTGGTAAGTGTTTTTATATATATTTAATTGGAGTCTAGTCTTAGCCCGCTAATTGCCATTGCAGCTGGGACACACCCTCGGCCAAGATCCGCCTGTAAACTATTCGCTGCAATGGGCCAAAGACACGGGCATCCACATCAGGATGGTGATTGAAGAGAAGCTGCCGAATACGGCCCGGGCTCAGGCTGAGGGCAGCGAAATTGCGGACGCCTTCGACATGGGACTCGGACACTGCAACACCGAGCTGGTAAGCAGTCGGAACATTGCCCAGCACAAGGTCTGTGTGAATGCGCTGGCAGCAGGTGCTTATGCCGCGTTGGATCGCGTCGCTGGCCAGCAATGGGCCATCTATGGCGCCAGCTCTGGAGCGTCGCGTATCGGTTTGTTCTGGTGATGCAGCAACAGATACTATTCACGATTTAATATTCAATAAAGCAACTCAGCATTGTACATCTACGGGTGGCATCCTTGATTGGTTTGCAATAAGCCAAGACCCTTGATGGGGCCTCTGAGGAGGAAATCTGTCAAAGAAAATGAACTTTGGCCATATTGCCAATGTCTGACTGACTCTGACTGGCTTATTGGGCTGGCTGCTTGGCTGGGTTAAATGTAGAGTGCAGTCCCTGCCCTGCCCTGCCCGTGTCTGTGTCTGCTTCTGTATTTGCTAGTGCTCATTAGGCAGGGGGCTAATGGGTAGGAGGATCCATGGGAAGGGGTTGACTCAGCAGCTCTGTTTCGTAATTATAGTCATTAGATGCGAGACAAAGCAAAGGCGACATTTGGCTTCCATTTCATGGCAATGTGTGTCAATGGAGATGAATCTGCAGGCGGAGCCCTGGGACTGGTAGTGGGAGTGGGAATGGGAATGGAATCGCTGTCGTAATGAGCGACTGTCTGCTGACATGGGTATACATCCAGTGACTCGTACAGTTCAATATTCCGTCAGCTTTAATTCCATTTTTTTTGTTGTTTTTTTGTTGTTTTTTTTTTACATTTTTTGTATCATTTTTTATGATGGTTGCATTTCACGTTGGTTTTTTTTTTCTTCGAAATTTTTGTGCCTTTTGCAGGCAATTGCGTTGAATATATATACATATTAATCCGCCAGCTCAAGCCTTTGACTCTGCCTCGGATGTGGTTTCCGTATCGGATGGGGGCGCATCCGGCTTGGGCTCATCCGTGCTGCCGCACACACACATGGGACACTGCCAGACGAATAAAATGAACTCAAATATATGGGAATACACATGGGCATAGAGGGGCAGAGCGACCTACCTTCTCCTTGAGCACCAGACGGTACTTGGGATGACTGCGGAGGGTGTATTAAAAACTCGATTAGACCTCAACTGACACTGCCACTGGCAGTGGCACTCACCTGATGCCATACACAATGGGATTGTAGACGGCGCTCGTCTTGGCAAAGGTCGCACCCCAGATGGTGGTCAGCGGGGTGAGACCGTCGATTTTGAAGAGTCCAAAGTAGCAGATGACAAGGTAGGGGGTCCAGGCCATGAACCACAGCGAAATGGTGGTCAGCGCCACCTTGGCCAGCTTGCTTTCGGCGCTCTTGTCGCAGTCCTCGGAGCTGCGCAGCGACTTGACATTCATCTTCTTCGCCTGCTCGCGCATGGCCTTCTCGTGGGCGGCCACGGCAGCGATAATGAACCAGTACGAGTAGCAGATCATAAAGAGCGGCGTGTAGTAGACGAACAGGGAGTAGGTGATGAGGTAGGAGCGCGGATTCCACTGTCGCGTCATGTAGTCGATGCTGCAGGCGGTCAGATTGCCCTCGGGCACATAGCTGCTCCAGCCGATCAGCGGCATAATGGTCCAGAACACAGCCATCATCCAGATGAACCCGATCTTCATGATGGACGTCTTTATGGTCATGGGCGTGCCATTGATGCCCTTCACAATCACATTGTAGCGATCGAAGGCGATCATGCACATCGACCAGATGGACACACAGCCGAACAGGGAGCCGCAGGCGGCGTAAATGTCGCACCACAGCGGGCCCAGCACCCACGTCTCGTAGTAGAAATTGATGATCATCACCGGCGACTGGGAGGCCATCATGCAGAAGTCGGAGAAGGCCAGATTCAGGACGAGCAGATTGGCGGGCGTGCGCAGCGATTTGGTGCCGCCAAAGATGTAGACCACCACGCCGTTGCCGCAGCACGAGATGATCAGAATGATGAGCGTGAACAGGCCGAGTATCTTGCTCATTGTGGGATCCATGGGCGCGAAGCGACTCCAGTACGGATTGACCAGAGGCGCCATATCGGGCAGCACCTGCAGAGGTCAGAGCAAAGATCGGACTTGCTGGATATCTGATCCCTTCACTAACATCCCTAGCCTAGTCCTACTCACATTGTCCAGCACGGAGCCATTGGCTCTTCCTGTTTGCGCCTCGAATCGGGGCCCCAGCAGGGCCACGGCCAATGGACTGCGCTCCATGCTCCGTTATCCGCTATCCGCTATCCGATTCCGATGCGCATCGAACTGCGGCTGTGGCACGGCTGCGGCCGGGGGCAGCTTATATGGCGGATTGGTAAGCCAATTAGCCAGCCATCAAATGGGCTCTCAGCTGCCAGCTGCCAGATAAGAGTCATTGTTTTTTTTTTTTTTTTATTATTATTTTCAAGGTTCTACACCTGCAACACGGCAACGCTGTCGGGGGCACAATCAATGTTTCCAATTACGTTTTAGAGCGAGTCCAAAAATTTCTTGCCACAGACGAGACACAGTTTCCTTTGGCGGCAGCTGGATGTGGTGTCGCGGTACTTGGGCATGGGCGGTGACAAGATCTTCGTGCAGACGCCCGTCAAGAAGGCGTTGGTGGCCAGTTCGAAGGTCTCCGACATCATCCGCGACTGCTTCTGGTTCGGACTTAGGTCAGGAATGTGCTGAGTCCTTTTGCCAACGCCATAGGTGTCCATGGACTTGACGGGCTCGTCCTCCGGGTAGGCGTAGTCGTCCTCGGAGCTGGGCAGCGTGTACTGCACAATGCTTATCTTTTGGCTGAGTATGAAGTACTTGCAGCAGTCCTTGATTTGGTAGTAGGCAGTCCGAAAGCTTCTCAGCTTGTACGTCTGCAAAATGCTATCCATTAGGATTCAGTGGGCTGGGAGTGAGCACCGACTCACCGGTGACAGTTCGTTGATGTTGCCCGGCTTGCCGTCCTCGCCGAACGAGCTCAGCAGCACCACCAGGCACTGCTTGGTGGAGCGATAGAGATTGGACCAGAGCAGCAGCTCCTTGTACACCGCCTCGTCCATGGCCACAATGTAGTCAAAGTAACGAAAGTCCTGCACAGTAAACTGATGAAGGAGGCGGCCGATCAGCATTTATATGTATATGTATATTTTAATGAACTCTTTTGCCCACCTGACGACAGAAATGATCCGAGCGCAGTCCATGCTCGCGCAGCGTTCGCAGGCAACGATTGTGGGGCCGGCGGCCGATGTTCCAGGAGCGCAGCCCCGCACTGTCCACCTCCCAGTAGATGCTCGTCTTGACCATCAGGCTCTGCATGATGGCCTCCGCCATGGGCGAGCTGCAAATGTTGCCTGCCCGGATGCCAAAGGGTGCCAAGGATTAGCGAGCAATGGCCAAAAAAAAGGCCGAATGCTTACCCATGCAGACAAACAGAATTTTCTTGTGTGACATATTTCCTATATTAACAGGCCGCCAATCAATTTAATTGAATTAATTCACACTAAAATTTATATTTATTTTTACTGTTTCCAGACTTGAATTTTTAATAAACTGAAATTTCGTTGAACACATCCGAAAATCTGTAGCCGAGTGCCGGTATGCATGTGTACTCGTACAAGCGCAGTCTACTCGGTTCGTTTGGATTTATCGAGCATGTCAGCATGCTCAGGTTGGGGTTAACCCCACACCCCCCCAACTGAAATTATAGTGACCCGACCGGACCACTTCCTTAGATTATCTACAAATGCACTTTTGCTCGCATGTTTTTGTGCTGCACTGCTGGCAGTTCGAGTGGGGCACGCCCACAAAGGCATTACGAGTGTGGCAGCGGGGCAGGCAGCGGGGTGGGTTCATTTGTTCAACTAGATAGTGTCAAGTGGCTGTCAAGTGTGGGCCACGTTCACGTTGCGAATTGCATTCGAAATTAGTTAACAAGTTCAGCGAACTCTCCAAGTGCCCCACGTACTTGTATGGCAAATGGAATCCCAGCACAGCTCCCCCCACACAACCCCCCACACATATAATCTGATGTCATGTCATGAAGGTGTACAATGCCATTTGGTTCATTCATTTTGGTTCAGTGTCAATTATGCGAGAGTTTTGTCTGCCACTTTTTATTTGCATTTCCATTAAACGAATGCCCCCACTCCCCCTCCTAACCTGTCTCCCTGTCTCTTGCCACTCTTCCTTGTTGGCTTGTTACTTGGCCATTGGCAATATCCAATTGGAATTGCATTGAACGACTAAATTGAAAATTCAGCTGAAAAAGCATATTTCACTTATCACTTTTCACACAAAGCACACCACACACACACACACACACACACACCGACACAGGCAAATGGCGAAAACAAAGCTCACCGGCCAGAGGGCAGAGGGCAGATGGCAGCATTCAGGCAGAAGAGCAAAAGAGCAAAAGAGAAAGCAACAGCAGAGAGAGAGATAGTGAGAGAGAGAGGGAGCAACAAAATGAAATTGTAAGCGGCAAAGCAACAGCAACAGCAACAGCCACAGCAGAAACAACAGGAACAACAGCAACAAGTCACTCAGTCAGGGAAAATAATATGTGTACGTACGTACACGTATGTGGCCGACTAGTGGGCGATGTGGGGGCATGGCAGGGCAGTGCAGGTTAGAGCAGACGGACGGATGGACAGGACGGACGAACGGACGGAAGTGTGGCACTGGCATCGCATTGTTGTTTTAATTAAAAACAAACCTCCCTCGAGTTGTTGTTGCTGTTGCCTCAAAAAAACATGGAAATAAAACCAAAGTGAGCAACCTGAGAGGAAAAACTAAGTGAGAAAGAGAGAGCAAGAGAGCAAGAGAGCTATGCAGCGAGAGAGACAGAGACACACAGTGAATAAGTGCGATAGATAGAGAAGAATGTGTGTGAGAGCGGATAGAAGAAAGTGTTGAATATTTAGTCCAAAAAAAAACATATAAAACAAACGCGGAAGATCAACTAAGAACTCGGGAGTCGACCAAAAGATACCCACTACAGGGTAACAGTTTGATGAATCCTTTCAGCATAATAGGCACACGAATAAAGAAATATTTTAGGCAAGATAATTGCACTGTAATTGTGTTCCTTACGACTGTAATAATTCCTTGATTTATATTTATGTATTTCTATTTTAATATGCAGTATTAAGAGCATTATTTGGGAACTAAATGGAAGTCCCATATACCCTTCTCGTCTACGATTACCGGGTGCAAAAGCTTGACAAGAATTGTTCAAAAATGTTAGCACAAGAAGATGACACAACCGGAAATGAGAGACTATCTGCTCGTGCATATGTAAGTGTTGCTGCTGGCTGTGTGTGTGTGTGTGTGGGTTTCTGCTTCAGCTAATGGCAACCGTAATGCTGTGGCAGTCCCTGAATTAAAGGATGAGCCGGCATGGACACACCACGCTGCGCCACTTCACTCCAAAAAAAAAAGAAGAAAAGCCACACCTAATGGCAATTTAAATGAACAGAAACAGAAACACACAGCACACAGCACGAATATCGAAGTGGAAAAAATGTAAGCCTGAAGCTGGGGGAAAAAAGAAACAAACAAATAAAGCCGAGGCCTGACTCCACCCATTGTTGGGCAAATGGCAAATGCTTTTTGTTGACCACAAATGCAATTTACAGCACAACAATCAGTGGTGGGACGGTCTACGTACGCAGAATGCAGCAGTAGCAGCAGCAGCAGCAGCAAAAGCATTCAGAAAAGAGAGTCGAGAGGCACCAGCACCAGAAGAAACTAATAAAACACAAACTTTGTTGCTTTGTGTTGCAGGTCTGGCCGGGCAGGCACGGCACTGCATTAACTGACCAGCGAGCCAACCAGGTTGAATGGGTTGCACAGAGGGCGGTGCAACAGCAACAACACCAGCAACATGCACAAGGCACAAAAGGAGGGCACGATTCGTTAGTCGGTGCTTAAAATACCCTTGCAGATAAAACGTTACTTTATTTATTTTATTTAATTTTTTTTTATCGTACTATTTATAAAATTTTTTTTCTGGTTGCAAACATACAAGTAAAAGAATAAAAAAAATATTTAGGGTATAAACAGCATCAGCATACTCATAGTTTTGGCCACACACATGGCACATACAATTAGATATACAGCTCGTTGAGGTTATATGGGCCAGAGGGCCTCAGGCAGGTGTGGAACTACAGAATGGAAGGGGGATGCGGTGAGGGGGACTGGTGCAGCATTTTGCCGCCGTGTTTGCGGCCATTTCCCGCTGATTGAGGTTCAGAGCATGTATTTTTGGGTTTGCTTTTTAAAATTAAATTTACCGTAAGCACACGTGCTGCAGTAGCTGTAGTAGCTGTAGTATCTGTGTGTGTATACGCATGTGTATGTGTGAGTGTGTGTGTGTACAGGTGCTCTTTACATTGCTAAATAAACGCCCCAAAACAACTACTTTGTGTGAGGTTTTTGTGTTCATTGAGGTGTGATAAATAAATTAAAATGCATACGAATATGAGCGGATGAAAAAGCGTGTGGTGTGGTTAATTTCCTAGGGGGAGATGGAATATTATGATTTAATTAGCCAGCAAGTTAAATGCAGGAATAAGAATAGCCACTCGTATAGATTAAATGTTATCTTGTGATGTTTCTTTGCTAATTGACGTCTCTGAATCGTGTGTAATCTTATCTGCTTTAAATATTTTATCATTTGTGTGGAAAGATGAAATTCCATCAATTTCCGTTGCCTGCTTTCAGGCTTCAGACGCTTTTGAGTAATTTCTTGGGCCACATTAAAAAATGATGAGGGGAAAACAGCAAACGGGAAGCCATGCCGGAGAGTGGGCTGCAGACAACCCAAACAAACTGAGGCTCATTAAAAAAGCCAAAGGCAAATATGGCCCGAGTCGTCTTGGCCATTTCCTCGAACCTTAAACTGCGACCTCATCAATAGCCGAAAGGCGTCGGCGGCAGACAGCAAGCTGGAAAGTCTTCTGTCTGGCCGAGATTTTTTTGCGGCCGATAATGCGGCACGTAGCGGCAATTCCTAAAAATGATGCAGTAGTTGTGGAAGCGGAGACCGTAGACCGGAGACGGGGCACGTTCTCCGCCACGCCACACTCCACGCCACGCTCCACGGGCTGAGTCAATCGCCTCTGCAGCGGCATCTTCATCTTTCCGCTGGAGCGTCGTAAGTCATTTAACATTTTGAGGTATTTAATGAGCCAAAAACTTTTGGCCGCACATAAATTAAAAGTCGACTAGGCCTGTCCGGCCTGACCGATGTTTCCCCAATGGCAACAGACCGTTGTGCCCGTCTGGGCCGGACTGGGGGTCAGGGTCAGGTGTGCCGGCTGACCAGGCAATGGCTCTATTAGCATGCCCATTAAAATTAGACAAATGGTTTGCCATTGCCGTTTGCCGTTTCCCATATCCGCAACTTTGCCCCAGTCCGCAGATTTATGGGCCAGCTAGGAGGGGTCTGAGTCTGGGTCTGGGTCTGAGTCTGGGTCTGAGTCCGGGGTCCTGGGTCCGGTCAGAAGTCGAAGTCTGAGTCGACTTTTGGCGCAATCACATACGCCACTTGAGAGAAATGCGCTGCGTCCATTTGATATGATAAATGATTTTGTTGCCACCATCCAACGCCAATTGCATGTGTGAGTGGGAGAGTGGGTGGGTGGGTGAGTGAGGAAGTGAATCTCAGCGCGTGTGGTGTGTGTGTGTGTGTGTGTGAAGGTCAGTCAAAGTCATCGGCTTGTAATAGGCATTCAGCTTTAAGCCATTGAAGTGGGGTGTAGCAGCAATCGACACTTTCCTCGATTACTTCAACTGCGTTTTCCGTTCGCGTTGAATGGGATTTTCCGTGCTGCTGACACTCTTTTGTGCGTCTGCCGTAAGCCGCTTCTATGCGGCATTTCTACTCCAGTCCCCAGCAAATTTAACCCTTCAGTTCATTAAACGTACTTTCCAATGCCCCACGGCAGGCAGGCACACAAATCACTCTGGCCGCAGATACAAAGGCTGTGACTGTGGCTGGGGGGCTGACGAAGGAGTGGATTGCGGATTGGTTTGGTTTGGTTTGGGTTTGGGTGTGGGTGTGGCCATAGAAATTCGACATATAACCAAACAAAAGCCTAATCGTGCAGCTGCCTCTGACTCTGCCTCTGCCTCTTCCGCTCACCTTGGCCACGCCTCACAATGGCTCCAGGAACTGGTGCTGCCGCCTTTTGGTTGTAATCCATCAAGCGGCTTCGGGTTTTGATTCGGCAGCGGGGAGGGGCGTGGGTGGCCACTGTCACAACAAATACAGCAGCAAAAGCAGCAAGATAAAGGAGCCGAAGGATTGGGTTAGGAATTTCGGCACTGGCAATGTGAATTCTGCCACAAAGAGCCCCACAAAACGCAGGCAGCAGCAAATTGTTTTCCATTCTCTGGCGCCGGCAGAAGGCAACTCTGCTTGTTGTTGCGTATCCTTGTTCCGGCGCTGGTGCTTGCTGCTTCGTGCTTGCTGCTTGTCCTTGTTTCCGTTTGTTGTTTTAGGTATTTAAGCATTTAGCCAGTCGACTGAGCCCCTTTCACAGAAGCAGTCCATCAGTCATTTCAGTTGTCATTTCACCATCTACGGGGAGTA